TATACTAATGATGTTTTATTATGGGGGGAAGTCTTACCTGCTAATTGCGGAAGACGTGGTAGTCCAGGAGTCACGAACTTGCTTCTGCTCGTGACTCTTCCGCCGACGCCCGATCATAAACAGCTCCGTCCTGAGGGGCGCGGCCCTCCCTGTCGAATTAGGAATGTCAGTCGCGCGACATTCACTATTGGCGGGGGGGCCTTGTAGTTTGATCGACAACAGCGGGAGAACGCTCGTGATGGAACGAGCGATGAAATCCGCAAGCTGGTCACCGAAGCCCACTGGGCTGGACCAGTGCCCCCGCGCATCGCAGCTGTTCGTGGGCGTGCCTATAATGCGACCAAGGAGAATGGACGCATGTTGCATGACCCCATATTCGCGATGCTTGGGGAGCTAGATGTAGAAAGTTTTGAGCAAGCGCTCAGATCTCCCAAATCAGAGTTTGATTCGGATGACAGGCCAGACCCCATTCCCCAGTCCAGGAGGCCTACAATGCACTCATTCCCCTGGTGCTGCCGAGTGACGCTACCGGCGCAGCCGAGGAAGCGGAGGCAAGGCTGTTAAAGCGCGGCCGAAAGCCCGCCATGTTGGGGAGCTCGGAAATCTGGAGAAAGTGCAGCCACCGAGCGCACTCCCAAGCGCAGTTCATAGGCGAGTGCGCGGTGAACATGGCGAGACATTGTGCCGAGAGCGCCCGGTCATCGGGCGGGTGGGTGTATGTAGGCGACCTCATTCAGAAAATGACGAACGACGGTAGAACACGCGCCACTACTGCCCTTGCAATGCACGGCCTGACAACGCTGCCACCAGGAGAGAGTGATGTTCTAGGCGTCAGGGCCGATGACATTGTGATTATTGAGCAAACGTATCTAATTGAGCAAAGGCGGTCCTTTCTGACCCCAGATGCCTCGCACGACACAGTCGTTAATGAGGAACACGGGGGCCTAGTCATCACCATCGATAGGGATGAACGGGCTGCTAAACCCATGCCATGGTCCTTTCGTGCATGTCAGGGACACTCTTGTTTTTCTCGCAGTATCGAGCGCATGTGTGCTCCTTGCGAGTTTGGGATGGCACGGTGCCGTGGGCACCTGCTGCATGCTACAGCCTTAGAAACCATAGAGGAGTCAACTGGGAGAAGGGACCATCAAGCTCCCGGACAAGCTTAGCGGCTTGTGTAAAGCACCTGACTACGGATTTCTTTCATTGTTTCCGACAAGGCGCGAGTTCCCGATGGAATATGCTGAACACGTCCCTCACTGGCTCAGCCAGCGGACGGATGGTGAGGCTCCACCCGCCAGGGTATATCAGGCTGAGGGCAGTGCCCCTGCCGGCGGTGGACCACCCAATCGTGGTGCTTGGCCTCGATCAATCACCCCGTCTTTCTGGGGCACTGATGTGACGCGCAATGAGAATTGGCAACCTGTTGTTGTCCTTAATGGACGGGTAGTGACTCGCCTTAGGTATCGAATCTGTCGCGATGGAACTCTTGTGGCCACGGGACAAGCACGTTTCAATGATCTTTCGCGTATTGTACAACTGCAAGTGGTTGAGCAGGTTGGCGGAATCACCGTGCCGCAGGTGATGTGGACCTTGATATTTCCACAAGAGTGGTCTGCGTGGGAGGTTGCTTTCTCGTCTGATACTATCAGAACGCGGATCTTTTCCGATGAACAGGTAGTCGACGTAGAACACAGCACTCTGTCCGAAGAAGAAAAGGCCTTCATCATGCGGAACATGTGGGCTGACGATGGGAGGTACACTTGCGCTCAGTACCATTCCGTGAGGGCTGGTTATGGATGCTGTTTGCATTGCCTTACCCCTGTCCGGCACAAAACATACGTCATAACGAATTACTTACAAGCGCCTGGAGAAAGTGGATTCAGTGCTGCATGGGCGAGACTAGGACTGCAAACGCGTCTTGATGTCACCCCGAGAGGAGATAATACATGTGAGATGATTTCTAACGGGCTAAGGGCAATGAACAAGAGCTCCGCTGATGCCTTGGACAATTTGAGCAGGGCCGAACAGCATCAGCCCAATTGGATTAATAGTGAACGCGCGCGTTTCAAGACTGCTTCGGCTGGTGGTACATTCATGAATTCGCAGCCAGGGACCGTTCCTCCCTGGCGACCTGACAGCGTCTCGGCACAGTCGCCGACGCGTCGCGAGCCATACTTTCAATAGCTTGAACCCTCAAGCTCAGTTTCATTGACTGGCTGGAGCCCAAGCATGCGGATGCTCACCCCGCGGCTGCTCAATGGATGCCATTGATTTGGACGCCAGATCTGGACCAATTTGCTCGCCCTATGAGATGCTTTGCATTTTCTGTTTTCAATTGGGAACATGTTAGCTCGGACCAAATTCGACCGGAGACGGGCTGGGACCAGTGGGAGCGAGAAATGGAGGAAAGAGGATTTGTCATTCCCTCAGTTCGAGTGTTGACGGATAATTAGGAAACAGCGAACCGAGTATCTGCATCAACCCAAGTAGGGATCATAGATTTCCGAGTCGCTGCTGAACTTTTTCATCGGCCAAGCCGCAGTGATGAAGTAGTTTCGGAACGTGAAGAGAAGGGTGCGATGTCGGACGGCATATGCAATAACCATATGCACAACGACATCCATTGCTTATTCCGAATAGATCGTTGCCTTTTTGGCTTGGCTTGGTTTCTATATCTGGTTGCATGTGTGGTCATAACTACAACTGTGAAACTTACGAGAGGCCAGATGTTATCCAAGTTGCAACGCAATTCGTTCTTGAATCTTTACCGATTCATCCCCACCCATGGAAGATGGGGGCACATTCTGTTAGCTGTACGGGAAGTTATAGTTGTTTTCATGCCCGCGGGAATCAATGTTGCGTTTCTGGGGTATGAGGTGCAGCGTAATCCGCAAGCCACCCAAGTTTTGCACAATGTTTATGCTTTAGATTGTCGGATCCGAGCTGCAGTGGAGACATTTGATTTGCTTCATAAATGGATCAATGGATTAGGACATGAAGTATCTGAGGCCGTACGACGGAATTGCTCAGGCATTCAAGATGCCATGGTCTTTATACGCACGTCTACGGAGCCCCAATTTAGTGTTAAGGGTCTTCAGTGCTGATAACGCTATTGGGATCACCAGTTGCCTTAGGAAGAAAACGGAGGAGAGTGGCCCAGCCAACTCTCCCACCGAGACAGTCCTAGCCGCGTCGCCAGCAGATGCCGTAGCCCCAGTCGTTGAAAGCATTACCCCGATCGGCGCCGCCGCCTCGGGGCAGCGGGCCCAGCAATGCTCTCGCCCGGCATCGCGACCAAGGTTCTAGTGTGGAAGGCAATCCCATCGCGCCGCTCCCTATGCTCCTGTGTCTGCCGGCTCAGCCGCGTCAGGCGCCAGTGCCGGCTGTGTCGACTATGACAGGATTCAGTCGTGGGCGGATGAATCCTGGATTGAGGAAGCCATCCCCCAAAGGCTGGCTGGCGAGCCGGTTGGCGGCCGCGCGCGCGATGGCGATTGCCCAGGGCCAGCCGTGAGCGGCGCGTGCGACGCGACCGTCGACTGCGAGGGCAACGCCGAGACGTTCGAGGATACTGCGTGCATGTATCCTAGCATCATCTAAGTCACCAGTCGTCACAAAACGTGGCAATTGTTTAGTCTGCTTGAGTGCGACGACAAGTTCCAGCGCGACTCTGGGACGCCAAGTACCTTGCGGGTGCACCGCCGCCGCCTTCGCCGAAGGCGAGGCCGCGGGGGAAGGGCCGGGGTAGTTCTGAGCCGAGTGGCTGGAGCTCGAGCAGGAGAGAGGAGCTCCTCCAGGGACTAGAACCAGTGCCGCTGGAGCAGCAGCAACAGCGATCCCTGGGATGACTCTCGAGACTGGGAGAGGTCGATGGAGAAGGTGATGGTGCGCCGCGGATCGTGTGCGACAAAGTCGATACTGGTCCGCGCTACTTCGTGGAGGTGCACCAGGTGTGCATGGGCATTGAGGCCTGAGCTGGTAATATTAGCGCAGGCGGGGAACGTCTGGCTTCTTCGGCCTTCCGCCCCCTGGCAACCACAGTCGAGCGGTGACATGCTTCTTGGGGTTCGCTCCGGTGGCTGTGCATATGGGCAGGCCAGGTGGGTTGGGGGTCGAGGCGGCTCTACGGATCCCGCCGCGGGGGGAGTCAATGCACCCCTTCCGCGCAACCATTCTTTTGCCCTGCCTGCTCTCTCTCTCTCTCTCTCCTTGCGCGCGCTGTCCGCCTGCTGTGCTGACTTATTCTGCTTACGCAGCTGTATACTTTGGCTCTAGGGAAACGGAAAAGGAGCGAGCCTGCGGCGCGCGCGCGTGCGTTGGCCGGCGGGCTGGCCTCCTCCCTTCAGTGTTACTTTAGTGCGTGCTTGACGGCACTATCCCTTCTTAACCATGTCATCTGCGGAGCCCGCAGACCATGCGATATCATCGGGACATCTTGCAGGGATGACGAATATCCAGGCAAAAGGCATGGTGATGATGCTGGATGATGATGCTGATGGTAATGGATGATGATGTTGATGCGGATGCTCACGATGATGATGATGATGATGATGAGGACGATGCTGATGATGAAGATGATGATGATGGTGATGATGACGATCATTCATGAGGATGATGATGAGGGGGGATGAAGTGGCGGTGAGGAAATGGGAAGGAGAAGGGGAGTAGGAAGGAGGAGGCACGGGGAGGAGGAGGACGAGAAACACAACCCAAACAAATATGAGGAAGAGGGACACTTTCGGGCTCGAATCTTCATGCTGAAGGCGCGGTGGCAGATATCATCACAGTGTTGGTTGTTTTCCGCATGCATGAGGTACTCCCCGGAATGTCGCTACTGAGTCTGATGCGACAGCACCTTCAGGTGATCCCCCCCCTTTTTCCCGCATCATCCTCTTCCCCCTGTCTTCTCGATCCCTCCATCCCTTTCCTTGCATGCGAGCCGCCTGGTGGCCCACCGAGTCTGCCCACTCCTCGCGCTCGCATACCGCCGGCGCGAGGCCCAGTATCACGAGAACAAGGCGGACCTGCGGCTCGCCGGTGTTGTGTGCTGCTGCTGCTGCTGCAGCCGCCGCTGTTCGTCCTGATGCTGCTTCTCCTCAGCGCTGTCTGCAAACGTTGTTTAACACTAGATATGGCTAGTTTTTTTTGTTGTGTTGCTTTTCGTTCGGAACGCGTTTGGTATTTCGCCCCACGCGATTGTGTAAACGATTGGACAGGCCAAACTATTTGCTTTCCTATGCGTTTCGTTTTACGAGGGATACCGCGCGCCTTATTTTGTGGTGTTTTGTTATCCTCGCGCCTGTTCTTGTGTGTTTGGATCTTCGCTTTGCTTTGGGGCAGCGTTTTGCTGTTCTCGTTCTGCCGGCGTTCCGTTTTGTTCACGTCGTTTCCGCTCTGGGCCCAACGAGGGTTTTCCTGAGCAGCCCGAGGAGTTAGTACATTTTTTTCCCCAATGGCCCCGATGAGTTAGGACAAGGTCTTCGAAGGGAGTCAAAGGAGTTGGGATCAGGGTTTCGCGGGGAGTTCAAGGATTTCTGAGAAGTTGTTCGTCGGACCCCAAGGGGTTAGGAGAGGACCTTAGTGAGAATCCCCAGGAGCTCGGATAAGGTCTCCTGGCGAACCCAAAGAGTTTTGATACGATTTTCGCAAGGGGGGGGGCGCAAGGAGTCAGGATACGATTTTCGTAGTAGTCTCAAGGAGTTAGGCTTAGGTTTTCCTATGGAGCCCAAGAGCTTCCGATACCGTTTCCGCTTATAGCCTAAGAAGTTCTGAAGCAGTTTTAGAATGCCTAAGAGTTCGGATGAGGTTTCCGTAAGAACTCCAAGTAGTTTGGATTAGGTTATGTAGGGAGCCTGAGGAGTTCAGGTCAGGTTTTGGCGGGGCGCCCAAGGAGATCGGGAGAGGTCTTCGTAAGAACTACAGGGACATAGGATCAGTTTTTTTCAGAACCTCAAGAAGTTAGGTTCAGGTTTTCGTAGGGCGCCCAAGGATTTAGGATCAGATTTTTGCGGGGATCTCAATCAGTTTTGACAGGATCAAGGAGTTCGGACAAGGTTTTCGGGAGGACCCCAAGGAATTATGATAGTTTGTTTGCCCACGGAATTCTGATCAGGGTTTTGTAAGAACTCCAAGGAGTCAGGAGACGGTTTTCGTAATAATCTCGTGGAATTATGAGTAAGTTACCGCAGGGAGCCAGCCCAGGAAGCTAGGATCATGTTTTCCTGGGGAGCCCAAGGAGTCATCAGCGGGTTTTTGCAAGAATCCCCTAGGGGACTCCCAGGACTAGGATAACGTTGTCGTACGAGCCCCAAGGGGTCGGGGGCGGCAAAGAGGGGCGTGATGACTGGGGAGGGGATATCCTGGCGGGGGCCATGATATTTCCCCAGATTTCATGGTGTGTCTTCTCGTTTCATGACGTCCCTCGCCCCCCCCCGCTGGGCCGCGCACATGCCGCCGGCCATGATTCAGGAGGGGAAAAAACACACAGACACAATTAATCGTCGATTCCCCGGAAAATATGGGAAAATATGGGAAATGGGGGGGAAGACAAAAACCCAGAACATATGGGAATCTGTTTATTTGTGTGTATTTATTTGTGTGTCCTGGGGGCCCCTTAATGGTTTGCACCCCCCCTCTTGGACACCCCCCTCTTGGCCGCTCCCGAAGGGGCTAGGATAAGCAGGGCGGACCCCACGGATTGAGGATCCGACGCTCGCGGGGTGCCCACGGAGGTCTGATCGGGTCCTCGTGAGAGCCCCAGGGAGTCGGGAGATGATCGAGAAGACCTTATGGCCGGTGACGCCGACCCTGAAGACGACGACGACGACGAGGACGAGGTGGAGGAGGAGGAGGAGCAGGAGCAGGAGGAGGAGGAGGAGGAGGAGGAGGAGGAGGAGGAGGAGGAGGAGCAGGAGGATCCTTCCGGGGCCTCCGGAGAGCTTCTTGAGGCCGAGGGCTCCAGACGTCCGTTTCGTTCCTTCGTCTGGGCACCCTCTTAGAGCAGGAGGGGGAAGAGGAGGGAGAAGGGACGGTAATTAGGAGGAGGAGGAGGAGGAGGAGGAGGAGGAGGAGGAGGAGGAGGAGGGAGGAGGATTTGGATGGCGGAGGAGTCGCCTTAGATTCGCCATCTATCAGGATGCCAGGGGGTTTCGCCACCGAAATATGGGGCAATGCGGCAACCACCTTCCTGTATATACACCGTGGGGCTGCCGACGACGACGACGCTGACGTGGATCAGAGTCCTCAGGGATGCTTCTTGGGGTGTCTTCGAAGCGCTCTCGGGGGCCTCTTGGGGACAGTTCAGGGGCGTCTTGGGAGCTTCTTGGGGGTTTTGTGGGAGCCTCTTGGGGTCTTCTTGGGGATTCCTGTGGGCATCTTGGGAGTCTCTTGGGCCTCTTGGGGGCCTCTTCGTTCCTCCTGGGAGCCTCTCGGGGCCAAGGGCTCGAAATGTCAGTTCTGGTCCCTCATCTGGACATGCTCTTGGAGCCGTCTGGGGGACCGCTTGGGCCGTCTTGGAGGCTTCTTGGGCCGAGGAAGAAGGACGAGGGGGGATGAGGGATATGAGGAGGAGGAGGAGGAGGAGGAGGAGGAGGAGGAGGAGGAGGAAGAGGAGGAGGAGGAGTAGGAGGAAGTGGAGGAGGAGGAGGAGGAGGAGGAGAGAGGAGGAGGAGGAGGAGGAGGTGGAGGAGGAGGAGGAGGAGGAGGAGGAGGAGGAGGAGGAAGAGGAGGACAATAGCGAACTTGGGGGCTTCTGGGCCTCTTGGCGGTCCGGGGGTCTCTTGCGTACCTCGGGGAGCCTCTTGGGGCCGCTTGGGTCTTGGGAGCCTCTTGGAGGCCTCCTCCGCGCCTCTTGGGGCCTCCTTGGCGCCTCTTTGGGCCCTCTTGGGGCGCTCTTGGGAGGCTTTGGGACGCTCTGGGGGCCATCTTGGAGGACATCGATTGAAAGAAGGGAGGAGCTTCGATCATCTCGGCGGGTCCGCCGACTCCGTGGGCTGCTCTGTGAAAGCAGTGGGCCTCCGGGATCACCACGTACTTGAGCCCGTGAGTCGCCAGGGGAGGAGGAGGAGGAGGAGGAGGAGGAGGAGGAGGAGGAGGAGGAGGAGGAGGAGGAGGAGGAGGAGGAGGAGGAGGAGGAGAGGAGGAGGAGGAGGAGGAGGAGGAGGAGGAGGAGGAGGAGGAGGAGGAGGAGGAGGAGGAGGAGGAGGAGGAGGAGGAGGAGGAGGAGGAGGAGAGGCCTCGGACTCCCTGTTCAGCGCCTCCACGCCGACCAAGTCGCTTCCCGCTCCCGGGTCGACCAGGGTCGACCAGCCCCTTTGTGGCACGCGCCGTGAGGGAGACAGAGCCGCTCGCGATCTCGGCCTCGACGTCCGTCCAGGCTGCCCAGGAGGCCCCCACATCAGTGGGTCGGTCGCCTCCCGCCCAGCCCTCGAACATGTAGGCCGACAGCTTGCGTTCTGCCGTCCCGCTGGTGCCGACGCCGTCCTTGCTGGGGCATTCCCGGCTCCAGTGCCCCTTCTCGTTGCACACGCGGCACCTGGTAACGTTCATGGGCTGCTCCCTGGAGAGGGAGAGGTGGTTCGAGCCGCGCCCCTTGCCTTTCCTCGGCCGCGGCTGCGGTCACGATCTCGGGCCCCTCGATCTCCGCCCCCGTTCGCCCTGCCTGACGAGGGGTTTGGCTTGTCCGAGCTGTGCTTGGAGCCGAAGAATTCTCGGTCCTTCTTCGCCGCCCTCTTGAGGTCCTCGTTCTGCTTCCAAGTTCTGGCATTCGACAGCTCGGTCAGCACGTCATCCACCTGGTCCTCGGACAGGTCCATGTCCTCGATCTCTGCCAGCAGCGCGGTGATGTCGTCGGGGTCTGGCTCCTCCTCGTCGTCGTCCGCGAGGCTCTCGTCGTCGCCGTCCTCGTAGTCCGGCGACCCACCCTCGAACCGACCGTGAGGAGGGAAAGAGGGAGGAGATTGCTGCCTACTTACCTAGCTCAGGATACGAGGCTTCGGGGTTCTCAGACGCCGATGTCCCGATGCCGTCGGCCATCGTGGTGCCGCTGGTGCTGCGTCCAGGGAGGAGTCGCTCCGAACCTGACGAGTCCATCTGACGGAGGTCCCACGACACGTTGTGGTGATTTGAGCTGGCCCGTGGTGAGCGTTCGGAGGTTCTGCTTCCCTTGGGGGTCAGCTTGGCACCCTCCTCGAGGAGGAGGCCCTTGAGTTGTGGAAGTCGGTTAATGGAGAGGAAGCGTGCTGCCAAATAATTTCCAGATGTCTAATCTATGTTTCAAACATGTTCTAAATACGTTAAAACATGTTTGAAGCAGTTTTAGAACATGTTGTACACACTTTAAATACATCTTTAATTCAATGATAGGTCTGTTAGAGTTGCAAGGTTCGCTGCCAGTGTTGTGGCCTCCGCGCGGCGTCCCCCGAATCATCCCCCACTTTAAACGGAGAAGGTTAAAGGCGAGGTATAAATCGAGCATGTACCGCTGCCGTGCCTGGCTCAAGCCGGGCCCGGCCAAAACATGTGATTGTGCCTCACCGAGGCGCACTACTCGCATCTGAGATCGGAAAATACCTTTTCCATTGACGATGCCCATCCTATCCTTTACTCCAGATCCCATGCTTCGTCTTGCACTCTTGCTCATGCGATATGAGCCAAAGCCTGGGATATGGCAACGCTTAAAGCGTAACACATACCTAAGCTTACCAGCTTGTTTTCGACTTGGTAGCGGAGCTGGCTACACTCTCGTGTGGCTGGCTCTCGCTCTGATTCCTGTAATCCACGGCACAACTTGGTGGACTACTACTACGGTGGAATACCATGTTGCGCCGGCTCTGCGAGGAGCGGAGCCAGTCCGCGATCGAGCTAGCGGGGCAACCCGCGAACTCGAGACGCTCTCTCCTACTTCACTGCGCTACTTCACTCCCGACTTCCACCAGATGCCAATCGGCAACTCGATCGAGAACGTGGTCACCCTGCGGGGCTACCCGCAGCGGGGCCACCTGCATCCCGTGCCAGTCAG